CTATTTTTCGTTATGAAAGTAAAAGATGAATATTTACCATCCATATGCAATACTAGATGACGGAACTAGTTACTACGGTAAATAGTTCCATAAAGTTTTTAACTCATTGAAATCAAAGATATAAATTTATTATACTAAAATTTTTTATTTTGGACTCCCTTTCCTCCCTTCTTCCATGAAAAAAAAACTATTTTAATAACATGTGAATAGCATAAAAAGCGAGTTTTGTGCATTTTGAAAGGAAAATCTTTAGTTTTTATCATTGTCACTAGATAGCAGCATTATTAAGGAGAAGGCGAGTTTGCTTTAAATTATATATACGCTTTTAAAGGTGGACTACGGAAAAAGGTGGAAAGTGGAGTGAATTTAATTATGTACTTTTATTTTACATTTAATTGCACAATTTTAAATGTTTACACTTGAGTGGGAAAACGGTTTAACTTAACATTCTTTTAAGCTTGCAGCAGAATTAAACAAAATTTAATTAATTACAAAAAATCAATTACTTCCCGGAAAAAAAGGGTCAAGTTAAAATAGTATGAGGTAGATTGTTTTTACTTTACATTTAATTACATAATTTTATGATTCAATTTATATGCGGGAAAAACGGTTCGGCTTAACATATTTTGAATCTTTGTGGCGCAGATTTAAGCAAACTGTAGCGAATAATCAATTACTTGTAATTAATTACGTTTGCCTTACAAATAACAATCTAAGTAACACCTAATATGAAATAACATCTAGAAACCGTAAAAGTCTAACGTTATTTTGCATAATTTTCCAATGTTAGAAAGATATCGCTGTATTCTCAACCTTATTTAACGTTAGATTCTGCACAAACTAATGTTACTTAGCCTTGCTGTAACATTATTTTGTTTTGATGCTGTAAAATATTAGATTTTGTATTTTCTGGCATTTAAATATATTCAAATATAAATAAGAGAAGCGACAAAAGAAAAAAAAACTACGATAGAAAAAGTTTATCAGATAGCTCCCACATTCTTCATTATACAATAGAATTTATTGGTTAAAAGAAAAAGAGCTTGTATTTGAAATAATTTAACCACAGTTTATACAGGCATCGTAGCGTTTCATAAGTGAATTATTCTACTTGGAAATTAATAGAATGCTTTTCCATTTTAAATATTTGATCTAGAAATTGACTTATAGTATTCAGTGCCATCATGGGTGGGAAACTCAATGAGGCTTAACATATCATAACTTTATTATATTAACCGTCTGTCGTATTTCGCGTTATTCTTTAAGTGGCAGAGCTTTTACATTTATTCGTCTGTCATTTTAAGCGATATACGTCTGCCGTTGGCAAAAAAGTATGCGTTGTATTAAATTAGAGCTCTTATTGATGTATGAGTTCGAAATCTCGGGACACAGTGGTAAACAAAAAAGATACTTCATTATTGAAGTGTTCATAAATGGTTGTACACTCTAAAAACTGTACCTCTGATTTCAGAGGCACATTTGAACCATTTGTGCCTCTGAATTTTAAGGGCACAACGTACCTTTAAAAATGAAAGGCACAATGTACCTCTGATTTCAGAGGCAAAATCAGATGTACCTCTTAACTTGGAAGGTATATTATACCTTAGATTTTGCTTTTATGTACCACTCATTGAAACAAGCATTTAGTGGTACCAAAACGTGTTATTTACCAGATTTGAACACATTTTTTTTTTTTTTACCTATTTGTAATTTGCTAGCACTTTATATAAAAAGGGACTTTCCGTTTGGTTTACACTATTACCAAGATATTAATTATAATAATTCTTAATGAAAAATAGTTCTCAATTCTTTGAATATTGGCCACTTGAAAGTGATCATTTCAAGGGATTCCATCTAAGGCTTTTTCATATACAATTATAAAATATGTAAATTTATACCATTTCTTTAATTATGTAGCGTTTAATGATACTTCAACTACTACAATGATGCTTTTTTAATCAGATATAGGTACAAAAAGATAATATTTATTTCTGTTAAGCCAAGTCAATATAATTCATGGATTTTTTTTCTTTTCCAAAAAGCATCCTCAAAATGGAAATTTATTATACATTTAGATATTTTTTAAATATTTAGAGATTTTATAAAATAGTTTTATAAGGATCAAAAATTAAACACTAAATATCGTGAAATCTAATATCTTTTATTTTCACACATAAAGAACAATTTTACATAATTTAGTAAAAGTTGCAATATGATGTATACAGTTGCACAAATTTGGAAAAAACATAGAATATTTTAAAATGATAGATGTAGATTTTGACAACTTGGATATTTTATAACATGAAATATGCTTAAACAAATGACTTAACAAGTGTAAAATAAAAGATTTCTTTCCATTGAAATGAATTTTTTTAAAATCCAGATTTTGGCGAAACATATTAACCCGTTAGGCGCCATCATTCCTATTTTGGGAACATTAGCTTTCAATTTTTTTGGAACTAACTGTACTTAATATTATTTAATCGATGATCTTATTTGAGCTCAGAATATATGAAAAGCCTTCTGCAATTTTTTTGGAAAGCTTGTTTCAGAATTTTTTTTTATTGTATTTTAAAAAACGTGAAATTCTGCATTTTTGCCCCAATCAAAACATGCATTTTTTTTATAAATATTATTAAAATAAAAATTACTTTCGTGCTTAAACTTGATTACAACAATCGGATATAATTCTCTTTTCTATAATCCGAATTTCGATGTCTACAGTATTTCTTAAAATGTCCTATTTCACCACAATAGAAACATTCACGTTCAGATCTAAATTTCTTCACAATACTTGGCGAATTCCATTTCTCATTAAAATGTTCTTTCTGGCGATCGTTATTACACGGAATAGCTTGTGGATCATGCTGAAAATTGGCAATGAGATTTCCTTTAAAGTAATAATATTTATCATCATAAATTTCTGACCTCTCAGCAGGAATAAGCTGTAAAGCACACGAAAACCAAAGATCGAAGTTCACACTAAATCTCTTCGCTTTCTGTTAAAATAGTTCGAAGTACTGTCGAATTCCACACTTCTTGGCATCAATTTTAAACATCTCATTCACTAATTTTTTCTAAAGTAGGAAATCCTTAATAACAATAATATTTGTCACCAATTCTTTCAAAAACTTAATAAAACATTTCTGGAACGGATCCCACCACTGCCACCAATTAATACATAGCTGTAGCGTATCAAGCTATATTAAAGAACTGTTCAGTTTTTTTATAAAAACATTTATTTCACACCACAACAAATACAATAGCAAATATAAAGTACCCGTAACGGGATAGTTAAATCTTATAAAGGAAACTAGAAAAAGTGCCCGTAGCGGGATATATGAAAACTCACCCGTAACGGGATAGATAAAATATCATAAAACAAACTAGATAAACCCGTAACGGGTAATATGAAAACTCAAATTCCACACAAAACTAATTCTAAAAAATCAACAACTTTCTGGTGTTCTAATTTTATCGTCTGCTTTTATTATTTGTATTTCGTCATTAAATATTCCATTGATGTGCGCATGCGCTTCTTCTCCGTTACATCGTACCGAAGAAAAAAAAGGGAAGCCCATTTGAGAGGCACAGGGAACCGGTAAAATCCTTTCGTACCGCGCATTGACTCGCGTTTGCTTTGGTGCCTTTCATTTCTTGTGGTGCCTCTCATTCTTAAAGGTACATTAGTTATGTGCCTCTAACGCGAGAAAATAAAGGGTACATTTAGCTTGTGCCTTTTATTTAAGAGGTACAGTTTTTAGAGTGTATGATTGAAAAATGCCCTCTGTTGATAAGCATTGTTTTAGTTTTTGATATTTTAGTAGGGTGTAAAACAACCCAGTTTTTAAAACAAACCTTTGTTAACTTGCTATTATCTTAAATCATTTTTTTTAATGGTGGTAATTTTTGAGATTCAATGTGCAAAGCGGCAAGCAAGAAATAAATTTATTTATTGAAATGTTCATATATGATAGAATAATTCATTTAACTAACAATACACTTAAAACCAAATTATTATTAGTAATGAATTTTCTTTCTGATAATGATAATATTCTAAAATTTTAAATAAGAAAAATTAATGTATACTTAGGAATGCTTACCTATATGTTGTAAATATTGTATATATTTTTCTACTCAATTTCTTATTTATTATTATAATATTCTAATTTCTTTCTTTTATTATTTTATACCTGGAAATCAAAGTTTTAATGGAGAACTTAGATTAATATTATTTACCTGTTACATAACCATCTAAATTTAAGGAAATCAACGATTTAAAAAAAATTCTTTTTTAATAGCCTTTTATTTAATAGTTTACTTTTCAAAATTCATTTACTGTTACTTTCTATTTGTCATATATACTTATACAAAAAATTCTCGTTTAAACTATATTCAAATGAATATTTCTGTATATTTGTAAACAAAATTGTAACCTCCTTTCTATTGAAATTTAAAATAATTGCCAGTGATAAAGTACGTTTCCGAGGTTGAGGTTGGCTGGAATAGTGACCGGATTATACAACTAAGGGATTTACTAACCTAGGTACGTATCCGCGTCTGGAAGGAAAGAATGATTCCTTCCGACGACCTGATTACCAAGAATTGCAAATTAAGCAGATATTTTTTAATTATTGAATTTTAAATAGAAATTACTTAATGTTTCTGATTAGCTCTTTATTTAAATAATATCTCCAGTGTAATCTGTTTATAGCAACCATTTTCTCTAACAACAGGAAATTCGCTGCCTCGGTGATGTTGGTCTCTCTTGCACTTTCCTCTGTCATTTTGTGTTTTGACTCTGTAAATTGTTCTTATTAGAACCGAAGCTAAAACTCGCCTATTTTTGCGCCATTATTTGTACTTTATTAACTCTATTTTGCTTTATTTATAAATTGGCTCAAAGTACACCCTATATTCATTTGAATCTAGATAAAGTGAACAAAAAAAGTGCTTTAATTTGATTTACTTCTTTGTTGTAATAAAAACGCAAGTATACATGAATTTCAGGAATTTTTATTTACTTTTTTGCATAATCTACAATAAATTAACATTCAAATATGAAACAAGTACACATTATCTATACATATGAAATCAAAATAATTTTTTTTTAAAAATAGTTCATTTACAAGGATATAGAGCGAATAAAGATCAAAAAAATTATCACAATTTTATGACAAAACAGCAGCAAAAGTCTTGGAAAAAAGCAGCACTGTTTTTAATTACAAAACAATATTGCTGAAAATTTCCAGAATACTAATAGCAAAATATGCAATGAATTTGAAAAAGGAAAAAAAAAGAATATCATCGAAGTTGAAATGGTGATATAGCAAACTTAAAATAGTTAAGTGATTTAAAAAATTGTAGTGTAGAATAATGTCAGTATTTTTCAGAAAAATATAAAAATTAAAAAAAATTTTGTTACATGAAATTTAACTTTCAAATCACTTACAAAGATGGAAAGAATATAATATTAGCTCATTACCATAAAAAATAGAAATGAAGATACCGTGATGTTTGATAAAATAGATTAATTTACACGCATGAATTTTATGCATGTAGAAAATAACATTATTATCTTCAATTTTTTTTAATAGCAAATAACAATAAATGCATATGTAAGCTTTACTCGTGTAAATCTTTTGAAGAATCTTATTCTGATAATTTTTTTCAGAGATTTCTTCCTTTTGTCTGATAAAAAATTTTAATAAGTTCTGAAGAAATGTACTTATCTGTGTAACTGAAATTCAATTATGTGCACAACACAAATGAATGCGAGTCAAAATTAATGATGGTTATGCGTTCTTAGAATCGAGATTTTGATAAAATATTTGTCAATAATTTTAATGCACACATTTTAAATGCGCTCTTTCCATTTTTTTTAGCAAACTTCTTACATGAGCTTTATACGATGATTTTTAGCAATGCTCGTTTTATGATGATTAAATAATTATGTAATGATTGACAAAAAAAGAAAATTCAAAAAGTGAAAATAATAGTTTCATATTTCTTTTCTTCTAATTTTCACTGGGTGTTTGAATAATGAAAAAAAAAAGACAAAATACACAATTAAAACTTTCAACCATGCACATTATTTTCGAACTTACAAGTGTTTCAATATTGTTTCAAGAGCATAGTTAGTATGGTTTCTTCTTCGAAAGTGAAAAACAAACTGTAGTGATAGTCTCTTTTAATCGCCTTCGCTTTCGGTTTCTTTCGGTGGTAAAACTGCAACTTTGTAATAAATTTCTTTAGAAAACATCCAACTGTAGGAATTATCAAAAACCAAGTAATCTGACAAAAAAAATATTATCGTTATTATCGTTGTTTAACAATTATCAGTGGCTGAGAAAAGGTTAGACCTCAGATATGGAAAAATTAGTAAAATTATAAGATGTTGGTGAGTTAAATTATTACTATCACTAAATCTCGCTGCATTTTATAAATTATCTACACCCTTACCTTCCATTAATAAAGATGATGCTGGAACTTCCTATTAAAAATTTGAGCAATGCCACCTACTGAATTTGCTGTGAATGTGAGAAAGGTTCAAAATAAACCAATCACACTGCAAAATTTGTGCAATACTATCCTGCCAAAATTAGCGTTGAACAACCCCAAAAGTTATGTGAATGAAAACTTTACCCCCGTTTAACACCAAATAAAGTGCTTTTCATAAATTTTAAGGAGGTAGATAAATTCAAACACCAATAATAGCTTCAATCCATTCATGCATGATTACCTCACAAAGTACACAAGTAGGCTTACATTAGGACATTGTTCTATGGCAATGATGGATTATTTGCAATCGAGATCAAGATGATGTGATTTTTGCACGCTACGTCTACAACAGAAGCAAAAGTTCACTGCAAAAAAAAAGCATTTATGTTTATAATTGAGTAATTCGTATAATTATAGTTTTTAGTTGAGTTATTCGTATTAATTTTTAAATATCTCTGCAGATTTCATTAAATCTTTTTGTAATTATTAATTTCTATCCGCTTTTGTTTTGTTAAGCCTAATTCGAATCCATCTCAGTATTCTCTGTGTGACATGTGTATGCTTAGTTAGCTAATAATAACTAATAGATACAGGGTTCCCACTCTATGATGCGATTGAAATTCAAGGACTTTCCAGGACTTTTCAAGGACCTCAACAAAATTTTCAAGGACCTTAATCTAAGACCAATTTTAAAAATTATTCTCTTCTATTTTACTAGAAGCAACAATGCTTGTTGTGGCAATAATTAATTTCAAATATAATACCTAAATGCTTTGCCTATATAGAGAGAAGAGAGTATATGTATTATGGACTAAAATTTATATTTTTTTAAAAACAACCCTACTGGTTTTACATATTAATTCACAAAATCATTTTCAGCACAATCTATAACTAATGGTAATGAGGTGTTAATGGTGAAATCCTTTAATCCTGTGTATTTCCATGTGAAGGCTGCATGAAAGACAGAGCTAAATCTTAGGTATTCCATATTCCATGACTATTCCATAACCCCCTCCTCTCCTCTATTAAACATCGTTTCTGAAATTATTCATCCATAATTTACACAACCTTCTCTAAATGTTATGCAGCAACAATTCTTTCTGAAAATAAAAATTAGAAGGAACATATCCCATTTTCACCATGTTTAAAAGCATTATTCGTTATGTGTAATCCACAACTGCCAATGAATATGACCTGGTGGGAATATTTCTCTTTTAATTCACACTGAAGCTTCTAATAGAATTTCCAATTGACATAGGGTCCATCCATGGATAATTGAAGTATTTTAGAGAGCTTTTAACCATCATCCATGCATTTGTAAAAAGAGGACAAAATATTTTCTGCAGTTCCATGACCCATAAATTGGGAGGTAAGATACTTAGTGCAAACTTTATTATCAATTCCTTACCATAATGTCCATCTGCTTAGATTGTAGAGACTGATTTAACGTCTCATCAAAGAGTACAGTGTAGCAATCAACATTCTTCAGCTCATTTATAAGAATCCCTTTGAAGTATAGTGCCAATCCAAAGGAGCCCAAATAGGCTCACTTTGTGGCACTACAAAAAAATTGTCTCGCTATACAGCTATCAGCAAACATTTTGGAGAACAATTTACTAATCCCTTCACAGGAGTTACATGAATAATTACTAGTGATGCACTTCAGACTCCAGAGAATTTCAGCATCAAGCACATTCCTTTTGACCAGATAAGAAGACAATGTTACCTCGGCCACTAAAGTTTCTGTTTCACATGGGGCACACGATGTTGAAGGAGTATTTACACCAGATGAATTAGATGTTGATGTCTTTGGAAAAAGAGAACTCAGGGCATGAGACTGCTTTTTTGTTTTACCTTTCTTTCATGTGTGATTTCAGAGCAGATTCTTCCATTTTCGCGATATCGATCTCCTTCATGCATAATCGGCACTTGGCTCTGAACTTCTTTTCGGGCATCGATAAAATCCATTCTTTATAAGCTTGATTATCCATCCATTGGGGATTAAAATAGCACTTCCCAGGCATAACTAGTCTAAACTACATAACACAAATACGAAGCCGTGCCTTTGCGAATACGCTTTACAATAAAGTTTTGAAATGACGCAAACGTAAGGACAAGTGCGGATGGTAAAACGGCAAATTTATTGAAAACTACAAGGTACATATTGTTACGAAATTCGAGAGTATTCCAGTTTCGATAAGAAAAAAGAAGATCTAAGCATATGCGACAGAAGATGAAGTGGAGTCTCGCCCCGAACGCATTGATTGTCTGCTGTGCTCCGCGCGCTTGGCAGACACCAAGACGCTAGGCCCGGTTAGAAACGGTGGCGTTAAAAACCACGTGAGAGAGCTCGGGAACAAAACAGAAAGAACGAGAAAGATCCGTGGGTGTTTTAAAAAAAGGGCCGCCGGCAGTATTGGACAAATTCAAGGACCTATCAAGTTTTTCAAGGACCTAAGACGTTTTTCAAGCACTTTCAAGGACCTCAATTTAGCAACAAAAAAATTCAAGGACTCTCAAGGACCGTGGGAACCCTGTAGATATTAACTAATTGATAACTAATATTTTCATAATTAGTGTGTGTATGCAACTTAAGTCAATGATATTAACACTATATCGTGTCGTAAAAATCAATTTGCTGATTTTTAGATGCATCATGTCTTACTGAAATTATTAACTTTAGCCAATTCCGAAATAAGCCAATACTTACAAATACAGAAACTGGTGGCAGCTGCCGTCACCAAGTAGTGTAAAAGAACATTCTTGGTACTATTGAGAACTATCCTTCGTTTTTGGAGTAGCGAATCTTGTGGTGTTTCACCACAACAAGTTAATTTTTGCAATTTTTGGAGTTAAGATACATTGAACATTAATTTTTACACTGCAGATGACATGTTTTATTAACATGCAAGTTAATTCTTTTTACCCAACTTGAGGAAAAACATAATTCAACTTAACCCAATAAAGCACCGATTTATTCAAATACCAAACTAAGGGAAGAATGTCGAATTGAAGTTTTTGTCTCAGAATAATTGGAAATATTTTTTGTGAAGTGCCAAAGCTCAATATTTACACTAAATATGCTGCCATGTGTTAATTTTTAACGTTTATTAATTAAATAGACTCGGATAGTCGAGTTTCTGCATATTTTTCGGAGGGAATTCTGAAACATTGTTAGTATAAAAGTAATTAGAACCATTTTTAAGATTTGTGATTCTATTTTAGAAGCTTCTAACTTTACTCACATGAGCCTGATCTTTCACATTTCCAAACACCAGTTTCGGTTTCAAATGAGGTACTGATTCTCCGTTTGGGCACAATTTCTTCTAATTCGGCGTCATTCCTTCGCTCATCCTTGAAATAAACAGCGAATCCTATGTCTTTGTTCTTGGTTTCGAATTCCCATTCTAAATATGAACCAGATTCATCGACTTGGAATTCAACACAGCAACTCTTATTTCTGGTCACGTTCAGCGTTTTCACACCCGGCTCTCTTTGGATGCTCCTCCACAAATTAGAAAGATAATAGCGTTCAGGTACTGTTTGTCCATGAACTAACTGTTGAAATAAATTCCATCAAAATAATTCTAGTAAATACTTTGAGCTATGAAAATTACAACTACTTGTTATTTGCTCATAAAAATGAGCAATTATCATGTACATTACTCGGAAAAATGAGGGATTTGATATTTTTTTAAATAAAAGGACCTATTTTTAAATTAATTATGTTACTACATGCTTCTAATTTTTTTTTCCAGCTTAGCTTGATGCATGCAAGTGTTAAGTTTTTTTGACCTTGTAATCTAATAAATATAATCGAGTAAATATAATGGTGTTAGACATTCAAAAATAAGCTAGTTATACTACTCTCTATATATGAAATAAATTACATATACCTTGTTCCACTTGGATATTGCATTTTACCCTGATTTGTCTTTTTAAGACTACGTCGTTTCTCTTAACTACCATGGCTTTTCCAGTTTTGTTTTTCGCTTTTCTTTCTAATGAGATATTAATAATAGATGGCGCTACTTAAGTTGTACGACTACATTATTTAACATTACGTAAGAAAGTCAGTTAATTCTTATCTGTTCGTCTCGTCTAGTTATGTTTTGAAGTTGTCTTTTAAATGTGTGTTCATAACAAGCGAAGAGCGTAAAATTTAGCATTTTTTTCGTTACACTGAGGTGACAAGAATCATGGGATAGAAAAATATGAATATGCAGTAGGCAATAGTATCGCGTAAAATGTATAGATTGAGAGTGCACCACCAGGACTTATATTTGAGTTCAAATTTTTCATCTGAGATTCATCTGAATTTCTGCTTGAATTTCATCTGAGTTTCAGCTGTAATTATGACCACCAGACGAGAATGAACATACTTAAGAGATGGAATGGTAGTTGGAGCTAGACTCATGGGACATTCCATTTTGGAAATTATGAGGGAATTCATCATCTCTAGATCTACAGTGTCAAGAGTGAAAGAGCCAAGAATGCCTAATTTCAGGCTTTAACTCCCAACATGGACAACGTAGTGGCAGACAACCTGCACTTGAGGATTGAAACTACCGATATGTGCGTAGAATTATCAGCATTAGTAATATTGCGTGGAATAACTGCACGTATCAATGCTGGACGTGAAATTGACGTGTCAGTTGTGACAGTGCAGCGAAATTTGGCCTTAATGGGATATGGTAGTAGTACACTGATTCAAATGCCTTTACTGACATTACGACATCAAGTCCAGCGAATTCTCCATGGATAGTGACCATATTGGTTGGTCCCTAGACTAGGAAAACTATAGTTTGGTTAAACGAGTCACGATTTCAGCTGGTAAAAGCTGATGGGAGAGTTCTAGGGACGCGCAAACCCCATGAAAACCTGGACCCACGTTGTCCACAAGAGGCACTATGATATCAATCGGGTGGGGGCTCCATAATGATGTGGGCAGCTTTTACCGACGGTTAAGTTCATTTTGTTTGGTGATTTCTTGCAGCAAGCTATTTGTGTACCCAAACAACGAAGGAATTTTTATGGATGATAATGCACCATGTCACCGGACCTTAACTGCAAACGATTGGATTGAGGAACATTCTGGACAATTAAAAGGAATGATTTGGCCCACCTAGATAGCCTGACATTAATTCCATCGAATGTTTATAGAATTTTAATTGAGAGATTAATTCATACTCAAAATCTTACACCTGCAACACTTGCGCAATTAGAGACATCAATTGAGGCTGCGTGGCAGAATATTCTATCAAGAGACTTCCAACTACCTACTGAATCTACGATGCGTAGAGTTGCAGCATTTCGTAATGCTAGAAGTGGTACGATACGATATTAAGTGGCATCCCATGACTTTTGTCTCCTAGGTGCATACTTTTGTATAGCCTACTACAAGTCCAATGACTTATGTGTCCGACTTTGTTCTTCAAAAAACATAAGTGTCTGAGATATTAACATCTCAGTTCAATGCCATAACAGATACGAACCTTAACTATTTCATATTCTTTCTTAATTTTACTTTCGTTACAATTGATAGAATATTTGCATGCGTTATCAATTTCTCGTGAACTGAATAATTTTTACTTGGCACTTAAATAATGTAATGCACTCGTTAAATGTTTCATATGTTTTTTATCATATCATGCTTGCGAAATTAAATATGTATTTGAAATTCACTTATGTCCCATAATTTTAAGCAAAATAAATTTTGAATTTTCTTTAAGCTCTCTATCTTTTGTTTATTGTAATAAAAGTTATGCTAATTAAATGCTTGTCACAATTTTACCTCCATGGGGCCAATATGATTCTTGTCTTTATTTCAAAAAAAAAAAAATCTTCTTTGTTTCCCTGACGTCCCTCCCCATATTCCAAAGGAATTAATATTAAGGGAATTTTACTGTGCCGAAGAATATGTTCGGTTTACTTACGAAACTCTTACATAAAGGGTTACCATCAGGGTCAGTCCGTTTTCCTCCAAGAAATGCAGGTAATACATCAGAAGAAATTATTTCTTGTAAGACCTCTCTCCAACCCTCTAAAATAAAACAAATTTTCACAGAATAACTATCAATTAAAATTCATAATTTTTTCTTGCTAAATATGTAGTTTCTCAAATGTTTTTTTTTCTGACTATAACAATTGGTCCAAGAGAAACACTATGACATGAATCGTTAAAAAATTAAAATTAGAATAGGTGTTAAAAAAAGGTAGCATTGACTTTAAAGGCCGAAAGACGTTGACTAAAAAATTTTTTTACTTCCTTTTTTATTTAAATTTTTTGTGGATAGATGAATATTGTTCGTGCAGGTTTTTATGTTTGTGAAGCTTTTTTTTACTTGAATTAAAAATTATAAGATTTGAAAAAAAAATTTCGAAAGAAATCTGGAACTGTGATTCCTAATTTTTTCTTGCTACGAAAACTTTGAGTAATCCAGCATCTTTTGGTTGAATCTCGATTTAGAAAATAAAGTTTATTACCAATTGTGACTATATATTAATCAAAGATAGATTTCTAATTATTAAATAAATATTTTTTCAAAGTAAAAGTACTATTTACAATTTGGACAATTTTGTGACAATTACTATTCGAGTAAAAGTGAAGGAAATAAAACTTATTATTGATATTAAGTAACCATTTACTAGAATGAAATAAGCTCAGAGGCACAAGAAAATGAAATCTGTAGCCAAATCGATTAAATACCAGCCGATATATATTTTTTCCACACATAGTTATGTCATTTTCGACCAATCGTGTGATTCGTCCACTTTGAAATTTAATAGCTCGTCACGAAGATGCATCCAGGCTATCAATTGGATTTGAACCCATGGCAGCCATGCTACACATAGCATTTGGCAGGCGATACATCTGGGCCATTTAGACCCATTATAATTGTATATTACAAATGTTTGGGGTGAGGTTGATGCCAGGTATATATGACTCCATGATGCAGGAATTATGGAACTTAGGATGGAACTTGGATTGTGATGTAATATTCATGTAGCATTTTTGCTATCTTTCAGAGAATACAGAAACAGAAAAGAGTTTCTAATCTTTCTGAACTTACCTGTTCCATAAATATGAACCTTCTTCAAAACAGCTGATGCCACAATGAATTTCAAGGCAGAGAAAAGTAAGGTAAAGTAAAATTGTGCTGAAAAAATAAAATATGTACTGTCACATTATGTACACATTATGTCTAAATTATGTACAGTCACAAAGATTTCAATCCATCATTCACAAAGATTTTAATTTATTATCAAATGAGTTTAGGTTGAACTGCTTTTATGAATTGTGACAGAGACTGACAATATAGGTACCCGAAGCGCCACTCGCCTATCGGAAAGAATTGTTTCTACAGATAGTTATTAAGGTTAGAAAATAGTATATAAAATTTATTTTGTCTACTTCGAAATGTAGTTATTGGTCGCCAAATGACCTGCTTAGCTGTGAAGGGTTGTTTTAATTTAAAACTTTTTAACTTATAACTTCAATGTCTTCCATATTTGCGATTTAAAAAGCTAAAATTTAAAGATTAATTTTAATAACTAGAAATCACGCTTTTGAGAGATTCTTCCAACTGTGGTTCGGTATTGCTCATTTGGCAATTTTTTTTTCTTTACATTTTATTATTATTATTATTATTTGTCCTAACTCATATGTTTAAAAATTTGTAAATCTGAAACTAAAACAAATTTGATAAGAAAATTTTAAATATATAATTTTTAAACCGAAAAAGACTAACTGCATAAAAGAAAAATACAGCTAATGTTTTCCATTGGCACTTCATGTACAGTACGCCAAAAAAACTGACTATTCTGAATAATTTTTGAACTAATGATCGGATTTTCACTGTTGAGTGCTCAATCTTAATGGATCGGTAATCTTAATCGGATGATCTCAAATACGCTGATTAATTAATGCAGATGATATTTTAAGTTAAGAAATCAGACTCAAAAACATACTTTCTCTGAATAAACACACACACAAACACACGCATATATATATATATATATATATAGTTTTAGATCAGAAACAGTAAGAACACTAAAGGTCAATGAATTAACTNTTTTTTTTTTTTTTTTTTTCTTTTCGGATAGCAGCTACGACTACAACTTGGGGGTCAGAAATCCGAAAACCTTTAAAAAAAAAGGGTATATTTATTCAGAAAAAATACGTTTTGTGTCTGATTTCACAACTTTAAATATCGTCTGTAATTAATTAGCATATTTGTGGTCACTTACTTGAACCATTGCTAATGAGACCTGGAACATGAACATCCAATCATTGAATCAAAAGTTATTCAGGGTGGACCGTTCTTTTTTATTGGAACATTGTACAATTAAACACATCTGCATTTAATGATATTTGCAACTATTATCTAGCTAAAAACTCGAAAATTATTATTTAAAATAAAATTTATTCAAATAGATACTTAGATTCACCTATTTTTCACCAAGAGTAAATAGGTTTTTTTCAAAAATAAAAGTTGATCCTGAAATCTAATTGACAATGAAAAAAACACCTGATACGCTTAACGTATTTATTTAAATTAAACATTTTTTTCATGAAATAAATTGTTTAAAAAGGAATAGTAATTTGTTTGAAAACGAAAGATCTAATTTAAACTTATTCTTACCATTTATGACGTAAACTGCTTTGATTCGTTCAGGATAATTGTCTTGGTACATGCTTATCCAAGTTATTAACATTTCAACAACTGAAAAAAATTGGAAATTTTTTTATGATTGTAATTCTAATTAAAATTGAAATATTATTTTAATAAATGCTGCTCTCATTAAAAACGTACACCCTTCTTAATACTTCTTTTATGCTTAGGAAACATCATTAATCTTCACACAAGAGCTAAAAATTGCACATGTAATATGTACTAATCACGTATTACTTTTTCATGTTGAGAAAACATACCTTATTTCTCCCAACCGTAGAGCCCCTGAATTAGACAGGCCGACTTATCATTTATTTTAGGAGCAAAGAGCTAACATAAGCACGTAACATAACTAATGCTAACATAACGTTAACTTGTGAACTTGTTTGCTCCAATATTGCTTGATAGGTCAGCTCTGATAGTATAGGAGCCTTTCCCTACCCAAAGATTACCTACGTCTTAAATTCTGGTAACGTTCAAATATTATATTTTCTTTGTTGAATCAAAAACGAGAGAATTATTCAGTTCATTTCCCTATTAATGAAAACTTGGCAAAGTTTTATTCGATAACGAAACTATTCTCTAGTTGCAATAGTTTTTTTTCTAAACTTACCCGTTTTGTTGTTGCCATCAACAAAGATATCAAAAAAAATCTTCACTTTAATCAGTTTTTTCTTCCTTTTTTTTTATAACTTACCCGTTCTGTTTGTCGCCATTGGGAACGTCAACTGGTCGAAGTCGTATACGTAAACAACTTTTGTATCAAGTTTTCCATTCTGGAAAAAAAAAATTACTTAAAATGAAACACTTGATTTAACTTTATAGGCTTAAGTCCTTTAAGTAATAATTTTGATTTTAATAGAATGTTAGAAGTGAATTTTGAAATTGAATATTTCTCGTGTGGGATGAAGTAAAGTTACTTAAATAGCCATTAGTCTACAAAACAAACTGTAATTTCACAGTTAAAAGAAATATATATATATTGTAATGCATTTTACGATGTTCATTCTCAGAAAAGACACCATTTCATGCTCAGAATAGATGCTTTTAAAATTTAAAAGACAAAAAATAGTCAAAACTATCTATATTGTTCAGCTACACGAGTAAATTGTTATTATTTGCTTATTGTTATCTATCTATATACATATATATACACCGAAGAGCCATTACATTATGACCACCCTCCATCTATAACAATGGGCTCGCCCAGGTTTTCATGGTTTCTCGCCCAGGAACAATGTTTTCATGCGGCACATTAGGACCCATAATCCTCATAGAACAATTCCTGACGTTTGAAGCTACTTGAACATGGTTGGAGACCAGGTTCACCCATTCATGGCAACTGATGATGAGGCATTGGATTTATACGGTAGCCGAGTGAGCTAATCGGTCTATACCTCGAGCGAGGACATGGGAGTTCGAAACCCAGTGATGATTCGTCAAAATTTTTTACATTCTTTCATTACATGTGTTTCCCGTTTCCTGCTGTCTCCAATAATTATTAAATAGATTCCACAGAAATATTTAGCCCAGAAATCCAGTGTTTACCATCGCTCACGGATAGATGGCGCTACCAAATAATCTAATATTTCTACTTATTTATTGTAAAACTTTTGAGGTTGGTACTAATAAAAAATTACTGTAGTTCATAAACTGCAATAATTTTGCTGTTCTTAGACATCAAATTTTTTCTAGCGGAATTAAATAAATCACCGCAGTCTGTAAACACATTTTTTATAAATTTTCTGCAGTTAATTTTTGGATGGGATGGTAGTATCATAACAATGAGCGAAAATAGAATGTTTTCGGATAATTTATTGGTTAATCAGAATTACTAAAAATATGTATATTTTTCTGAAATAGAATTGAAAAAAAAATATTATTTAAGACAAAAAAAATGAAAAATAAATTTTCGCTTAAAATTTCTGGCTATTAAAATCGATTAATTGTTTCACTCTCGGTCGATCGTTTTCACTCTCAGTCATATCGTTACAACTATAGAAATGAATAAACGATATTTTTATTCCTGGTTTATACTTTACCTTTTCATTTTCGTGTTTCAACATGTCTAATGCTGTTTCTGTTCGAAATAAATTCAGTTTAAATATATCGATCATCTTCGTAGATTTTAGAATACCTGTAAATACATTATGATATTATAATACAAAACTTGGAAAAAATATTTAATATTTTAATGCTTTAAATTAGAACTAGGTCAAAGCTTAGCCGCTAAAACTTTTTGCTTTAAGTGTTGCGCTTCGATTCCTTTTATTTTTTGTTGGTCAATAGTTTATGGTTTTACCCCATTAAGGCATTGCCTTCTACACTAGCCGCAGAAATACAGAAATCAATATGAAAAAAGCCAACTGTGTGAAACATAAAAACATTTATGAAATAGTTCCTTTTTAATTTTGTAAAATAACTACAAAGTTGTATTGCTTAAAATCATATAAATTTTACAAAAATTTAAAATTTTTATGGATTTGTAAATTTTTTTATACAGGCTGAAAAAGTCTAGTCAAATTAGTGTCATTTTAAAAAACAGAGCAACTTGTTTTTAATATTTAGGGTATTTGTCAATTTTTAAATCCACAAAGTTCCTTAAAACGCGATAGCGTTTAGATAGCTTAATATATCATTGATTGCTATACCATTATATAACCGTTGAATTGATTGTTATATCATTATAAACTTCGGTCCTATAATCTCTCTTATAACTTTTAATAAATTTTGCAACTGAGTAGCAATTTATTTTAATAATTGTATGAAATACATGCCAGAACTGAGTAAACTCAAAGGCTGATGTTTTTCGTCAGAAATTGAAAAATGCATTTTTTGAAATAATTTTATTGCATTTCTTATCATAATAGAAAGGGGAGTTATCGTTCAATTTACATTTTTTTGCGAAAAAGCGTAAAAAAATTTCGTCATAAAAATTAAGGTTAGACTAAAATAAAATTTAAAACTAAATTAGTCGTCATAAGAAACTTCGCCCTAAAAATTATTTATCTTCACTTTTAATATTTTAAATATTCGTAAAAATACACCGGAATTTTTATTTTACAGAAAGTAGCAAGTAGAAGAATATTTAATATTAATTTATTATTTTAAACGAAACACTTATCAAATTTGTAGTTTTAATTTTCTTAGTTACTTTCAAACTGTTTCATAAATATCCTTAGTTTATATTAAAAAAATTAAGGACTTAACAGTTTATTTTAAGTAAACTGATTAAATTAAATATTTGTGTTATTGAAAAAGTATTACATATTTAATAAGCTAAATTTATATAAACTTAAAAACTTCAACTGTTAACTTTATTATTTCAGTGTCAATTTAGTTAAACAACTGAATATAACTTTTAATCCTTTGATGCTTTCCTATTTACTTGAAAAATATTTTAAAAGGAGAAGTATTTTAAAATTTTGTATTAATTTTTTTTTGAACTATATTAAAATAGGTTACAGAACGAATTAAAATCTGAAAATTTAGCAAAACCATTTACTTATTAATGATTGAAAGAAAATTAACGTAAAAGAGATAATTTACCTATTCATTATTAAATAATGATGTCAATTATTCTGAATTCATTCTTTAGATTCTTTGTTAAAAAGAAAAAATCAACAGATAAAAATTATAAGGCTACGTGACGTAAAGCAGTTATGATGTTGCGAGGGTTATTCATGCCAAACGACAATTTTGAAATATTTTTTATCTCACATTTAACCTTACTTAAAATTTTGAAAAGCTTCAAAAATTTTAACGCAAGTTTGAATGTTTATGTCATGTATCATAGAATATGCAACTCTATATGCAATTAAAATATACAATTAACACAATACATTTTTCTCAGAATTGATTAATTTGATTAATTAACATTCATAAACCTTTTTTCTTAACTTGAAATTTTTTTTTGTTTATTTTATCACACTTTCAAGCCCGCAAACGATAACTAAAAAAAATATTTTATTTTTTCATTTCGGAATAAATTTTTTAAAGATCGATTACAATTTGATTTCATTTATCCTTCCGATCTAACCATGCAAGATTTAAAAGTTTTGGGAATTTTGTATATAGACATTTATTGCGACTTATTGAAAAATTCAAAGTATGCAAGCATAAAATAAGGTATTTCATAATATTATTTTTTGACTAGGTATTATGAACCAAATATACGTTTTCGTTAAAAAAATACCCAATATAGTAAATATTTCTTTAAGTAATTGTAATACATTTGTCTATAAAAGAGTGTTTGAAATTTTATTAACTTAAAATATCTGGTTGCTTTTTTCATAGCAACAGTAGAAATTTCAGAAAGATTGGTTTTTAGTTTGTTCTGCTGATAGTTTATTACAGTTTTACCTTTTGAAACTATTACACTCCATAACAAAAAAATCGACGCACCAAGAAGGAGTTGTCCGATGGAAACGAAAATTGGTGGATAGGAAGACAATGTACAGAATAGTAAATGATTAAAATTTCAGAACAATTGAATAATTTATTGCAGAGTTACAGTAACAAGTTCAATAAGGTGTTGACCCGCCTCTAGCCTGGATACAAGCTGCCACACGGCGTGGCATAGACCGATAAAGCTCCCGGATGGTCTCTTGCGGTATTTCCTGCCAAATTCGATCCAATTGTCGAACGAGGTCATCAACATTCCGTGCCAGATGCAATCGCCTTCCCATCATATCCCAGACATGCTCGATGGGAGAGAGATCTGGTGATCTGGCAGGCCAAGGAAGAGTTTGACAAGCTTGCAGACAGTTCATAGCAACACGTGCCGTATGTGGTCTGGCATTGTCCTGCTGAAAAACCAGCCCAGGGCGCTGCAAAAGGAACGGTAGCAAAACAGGTCTTAGGATGTCGTCGACGTACCGCTGTGCAGTAAGTGTACCTCTAATGACGACCAAAGGGGTCCGGCTGTCAAAGGAAATGGCACCCCAGACCATAATGCCTTGTTGAGGGCCGGTGTGGCGTGCAATAGTGAAGGCAGGATCCGCCCTCTGCCCTGTGCGTCTCCAAACACGTCTTCGATGATCGTCAGGACACAGTTTGAAGCGGGATTCGTCGCTAGAGACTATACGTCCCCAGTCGGCGTCATTCCAGCCATATCTGTTCAAAACATTCATGCATACGAAATTTCAAAGCAATCGGATGATTGCTTCTTGTTGAGTCGATTTTTTTGTTATAGAGTGTATATAATCATGACGGAAATAATATTCTTCGATAGAGATTATTTTGAATATCAGACTCTTTAAGTACTACGAAGGGTCCGCATAAAACTGTTTTTTCTTGGAATCTACAAACTAAAACCGTTTGCATTGTTAAAATGACAATACTAATTAAAATGCATTATTTAAGTATAGTTTTTGATCTAGTTTATATTTTAATAAAGTTATTGTGTAAAATTAGTGATAGTAATGTTTGTGGTCAGCTCATGCGTGATGTTAACATAGTTTGATCTAACCACTATTATTATTTGTTACATAGAAAGGCCATAGTAAAACACGTAACGTTATTTCCTTCGTTCGATACAATTATGAATTTCAAATCTAAAAAAGCATACTTAATATTTAATTAATACACTATACATTTTTATTGGACTTTAACCTCTCAATAAAATCGTAAAAATGAATTAAATATCTCATTTTTTAGTGAATATTTATTAGCTTTTATACGAAACCATACTTATATAACGAAATATTAAAAATAATCGGTAATTTATTAAAATATAAATAAATTTAATAGTTAAAGGTTAAGGTATTCAACTGGTTTTGGCATAATTTCTTAAAAAAGGCATAATTGTAATTTAATTTTTATTTTTTGGTAAGAAGAGTACTTGAAATTTAAAGTAAAGTTTAAAAATTTATTAAATATTTTTTTCAAATAAGGGTAAATTTGAGCTCAAAAACATACACTTTCTAATGTCACGCTTAACAGCTATACAACAAATTGTAAGGTATATAAAAATTCAGAATAATTTCTTATTGATCAATATCATTAATGTGATTAACTGTGTTTTGAACTTATATCTCAAAACAATTTCAAAAAGACAATGAAATAGAACTAAATATAGTATTTGATATTCAATTTTTGAAGAAAAATTTGTAACATTCTCATCTAAGCTTTATAAAACTAAAAAGTTCATACTTAGACCTTAGCTTTTAATTCAAAGCCTCGCTAACATTTTACAAAAACAAACATTCAGAATTTCAAAGAATTCGATAATATTTTTTTGTAATGTGCGTGTTAGCGTAAAGAACTTTTCTCAAAATCACAGTTCTTTAGTAAATGCATTTAAAATGCAAGACAATTCTGAAATGTGAAAAGAAAGTTGAGCGAAAAATATAATTATTTGAAAATCAAAATCTGAAAAGAAATTTTATTTGTCTTAAAAATATGATTTATTCGAATAGAAAAAAAAAAGATTAAAATATTCAAAGCCTAACATAAAACATCATCATTCGCTTCCTATTTCGCTAACCAGCATACGAAAAATTATTATAACTGGATTTCTTAAAATCGTAGATCAAAAATGAAAAGGTTTTGAAAAGTTTATAAGGGTTTTATAAAGATTTTTTTTTTAAATTGAAACTTTTGTTGAAGCTGCCGATTTCTACCCAGACGGATACCTGAAATTAATAATTTATAGCGAAAAAATACTTAATCAACTCAAAGCAAATTTAAATACTTTACTTGCCTTTCTCATCTACCTTCCCAACCCCAGCAAAGATTACTGGGCTGCCTTCCTTGTCTTGACCCAATACACTTATTGGGGCATATAGTTCAAGAACCTAAAAAAAATAATAATGTTTATTTTAAGGTATAAGTTCAAAATAGATCTGAATTCCATACTTCTATTTAAATTATGATTGAAAATGAAAAAATATAAATAAAAAATTAACCCCGACAGAAAGAAATAAAATAAAATAAAATAAAATAAAATAAAATAAAATTTTAAAAAATTAAAATAAAATAAAATAAAATAAAATTTAAAAAAATTAAAAAATAAAAGTTGTGATCGCCTCATTACGATCACTGGTTATCCATTGGTCAAATGCTTTTTCTTTCTGGATTGACTCCGTTAAACGCTATAACATTTCAAATCATGGGTTGCAAAAATTGTCTCGATTGATGTTGGTCGTCTGATGGATTTTCATATCACGCCTATGTACGCGTTGCAAGACGTCACAAAATATTTTTCCTTCTTCAGCATTCATATTTATATTGTAATAACCGTCAAGTCAATACGTTAATAATAAAAAGAATACAAAAGTACTTTAAATTATTATTATATAAATACATTAAAAATGCCTGCTAGTGAAAATAGAAAGAAAAACAGCAGCGGTCGCTATAGCAATGCATGCAATGACGACGCATGCGCACTGTTAACTATTACTCTTGAGCACAGTTGAAAAATGTGTGCACGCATCCATCAAATCCAAATCGATACCCATTTTGCCTATTGGTGAGAACACATACTAACTTATCTTTAATTATATCTTTTGAAATAGCGCTGATTTTATATAATAATTAATCTTGACATTGCTAGTTATTGTTTGGAAAAATATAGATAAACAGGTAATATGAATTAAACTGCTGTACAGTTTAGAATTATTTTGGCTTATATGATTTTGGTTTGATTACTCAAACGCAATTATTTAACACGATAGTAATTATGATTCGGTTATTTCGATTCCTTTCCATACCTGCTTAAAAAAACTTCTAGAGTTAAAATGAAGGAACATACTTTGGTTTTTTCTGTCAGAATAGAAACTTATCTCTCTGTATTAAAAATAGTAATGGCTACCAAAGTCGTTTTGAATGTTCACCTTACCGTTTAAATTTGTTTTACCACGCGAAAACCATAAAATTAGAAATATAAAATTACTAAGGTATATAGAAAAGTGTATAAGGATTTAATTTTATTTTATAACCGTCCCTGAACAGCCGACCCAAGTTTGGGTTTACGACTACTAATGCTTAACTACGTAGCCTTGTAATTTTGAACCTAATCCAGAAGACAAGGTAATTCCTGAATCAAGTAATGGGTGAAATTTGCCTTCGTGGAGGACTTAATGGAACTAGCCTGCATTTGCATTATATGGAGAGGAAAACCACGAAAACCTCTCCGGTTAGAGTGACGGCAATGGTCTCTAACCCATGATCCGTCTACCACTAAGGTTCTTTTCCGTCAGCACTATGGCCAGTGCTAGTCGGGGGCGGTGCTCGAATCTTCCAGCTATCGCTGGGATTTGAACCCAGTTCAAATCATTGGAAGGTGAACTCTATCGACTGAGCCACCACGGCTCAATGTTCGATGGAATTGAAAAAAAAATACTATTAAACAATTAATTTTCTGATTATTAACTGTTAAACTTGTATAGAAAACCGTTCGCTGAAAATCTACCATACGCTGAATTACAACTACAGGATTAACAGTAAACCTGTTGAGAGGAATATTTTGAATTAGTAAGAGATTTTTTCGAAATTCTCATTTGTTTGACAATTATTGCAATTTTAAGTGTTTTATTTTTGTATATTTTCTTTAAAAAGTATTACTTATCTTTTGTTGTAGAAAAATTTATCCATCTCGCTATTTTCATTTTATAAGTTCACGTTTAAATTTATGTCAAAATAAGTAACAAAAGAAAATGAATAAATAAAAAAAGACGCATTTTAGATGTTGCCAGACACAAATCTTAATATTTTTATTAAAATTTTTAAAAATTTGAAGACTAAAAAGAGAAAAAACTATTTCCAATGCGAACTGTTACATGACATAAGGTTACCGCTGCACATTTTCAACTGGCAAAATCACTTCACATTTATTACTGATTGTGTCATATATTCCGTATTCCTCAGTTTTATTTTTTATTTAGTGTAATTGATTGCTTTTTAAAACCAGATAATCTCTTATTTCGTTACGATTAACCTATCAATAAATATGCTTACATAAAGTTATAATAGTTGCATATTTTTCTACAAAATTATCTTTTAACCAACTTTTGAGAGAGAAAAAAACTTTTACGAATATAAAGTTAATTCTGAGAAAAAACGAATTTGCGCACAGACAAAAAGTGCTTTTTTACGGCCTAGCGAATTTTCACTGGAGTTATTACTTTCGGTGAGGTGGGGATACCGATTTATTTGCCAAAATTTAATCATCCTTAAAATACAACAAAAAAATATTTTGATTATAATATTATCAAGAAAATGGATCCGCTCTTCCCCTATGATCTGGTTGGTTGGTTCTAATGCCACTTGCAACACGGGCAAGCCTGCTTGGTGAAACCGAGCAGATTTAAGGCAGAAAGAGCGTTTCTTGCTTTTTCAGTGGCGCCATCTGTGGCCAAGAATACGACTTCTGCCCCATATTACGTCACACTCGTTTATAGGGTGGATCCATTCATACATCCATTCATTCATCCACGGATCGTAATTTTGACCTGAATCAGAGAACGATTGATCTCCAATCCAGTACCCCCAGAGGTATGGATTTGCTATGGGAACATGGAGGACAACAACAGCGACTCCACTGATATAACGTGTATCAGTCACTTTACTACACGGGGAGTCTTCGGCCGGCGGGGTTCGAACCCACGAACTCTCGGACATGGGCCCAGCGCCCTACCGACCAGGCTATCCTGGCCTTCTCCCCTTTGATCTTCAATCATGAATGAGAAGCAAGAACGTGGGTTGGTAAGCGTAGCGAACAGGGGACGAGTCTCCAAGTAATATAAATAATTTAGTTACTTTTAAATGCATCAGGGTAAACAATGTGAGAGTTACTCACAAAGAAACTAGTTGAATATAATGAGATTTAATTCTTAGATTAAAAAATTGTGAAACGTAACTTTCCTTGCAGTAACCCAAGGTAAAGTCGCTTAAATCGAATTTATAAAATATTTAATTAAATGATTTTGAAACCACGCAACTCTTTTTTTTACGTAAAAGATAGAGCCTAGAAAAACTTAATTTTTTTTGTAAGAAGGACTTGAGTATATTTTTTTTTTCTAATTTGTAGCATTTTACTTTGATTTATCTTAATTGAAATTTTATGATTGATTAATAAATTTACTTACTTCGGGAAGTTGATAGTCAGTCAAGAGGGTATCTATATTGTATTCTTTCCTCCAAGAAATGTGCTAAAAACATTTAAACATGTAATCATACATTTTTGTTTAAAACAGATTTTTTTTGTAGGTAGGTATATATTTACGTTGCACTAGACCTACATAATGGGCTATGATGGGCTTTTTTGTATAAAATTACTCTTCAAAGAGTAAAGGCCAATTTAATTTAAATTGAGAACAAATATTATACAGTACTAAAAAGCTATTTAAGCCTTAAGTACCTCTCTTACGTATCTTGAAAAAATTAAGTAAATAATTATTTTATGTCTCAAAAATTAATAATTGAACGAGAAAAAATTAAACCATTGTCAAACTATGAATAATAGTTTTTAGTTAGTTTGTTGTTAGCGTTGTATTAGAGATAAACTATTGGTCTGTGTGCCAGATAACATTTTATTGTAACTTTTAAGGAAAATAGAGTTTAAAGCATAATAAACAATTTGAATATTGAATGAAATTTGAAGTTTCATTTGAAAAATTGAATTTCATTTGAAAATTTTATTATTTGAAAAATAATCACTGAATTTCATTCGCCAATCAGATGGGCTTTAATGTGTTTAATCTCGCATTCCTCGTTAAATACTTTTGAAGCTTCTAATACTTTTTTTTTTCCTTGATCGCGTTATGATATTTTCCTTACTTTATTATTGTATTTATTGTTATATTACATTGTTTTGAAAATTTGGCCTACTGACGTCACTTTTGAATTAAATTTTTTTATGGTATAGAAAGTAATTTCATGAAAAGAGCAGCAGAGAAATAACGTTTAAGTTAAATTTATAGTTTCTAATATTATTACTTCCTTCGTTATAAAAATAGCATAATATTAAATCAGAATACATATATGTTCTTGCGAACATGAAAAATCTGCGTTTTCTATGAGAAATTTAAAGAGGAAAGCAATTCTTACACAATAGCATACAAGAATCTAGGCAGTTGATCGATTAAATGTAAATTTAAAATGTTTTAAATAAAAAACATATTAACCTAAATTGTTTTTAAATGTATTTGATTTATAAAATAACGACACTTCTGATTTTCTTGTGTATATACTTGTCCATATAATATATCGGTCACTTTATACAAACGAACTATGCATTTTACATAAATAAACATTTAATAAAACTATTATTTCTCAAAATATCTTACTTTTTTTTTTTGAAACCCTAGGGTGTAGGAAATTTTCTCGTTTTTTATAGAAATTCTGAACTTACATGAGTATTTGTGATATCAATTTCGAATGGTAAGCATTTTGACACAAATCTAACATAAAAAAAATAAAAGTCGAAAAATGATAATTTTAATTTTATTCAAAAAAGGAAGACATTTTTCAAAAATTATTACGGCATTTATTGAATTCATATTTAATAGTTATTTTTTATTATATGATTGGGTCAGACTAATAAATCATATAATAAAATAGATAATTTTTTTAATATTTACCAAATTTGGTAAATATTAATAATTGACAATTATAAATAACAATAGATAATTAAAAAATAACATTAATAGTAATTATATCCATTTTAAGTTTTTGTTTTTGTTTACCAATGATATTCGATTAAACATTCTTAAGGTATGTAGGCAAAACCAAGAATTGAAACCCTAAGCGTGAAAGGATGATAAAAAAAAGTTTGCAATTATTAATATTTTTTGAAATTGTATTTTTTATTTATGCTATTATTTTAAATTATTGTACATTTAATTAAGCGTGAAATTCCGTTTTATAAAATATAAATAAATGAATAAATAAAAATACTCACTTTTCTTAACATTGCCTCAGCATTTTTCATGTTAAAATCTCGAGCTTAAATATAATCAAAAAATAGAATTATTGCTGATAGAAAAAATTCATCTATGATTTAGACCTTCAATTTTTAGTTTTTCAAATTTTAGCAATAAGTGGAAATGAAGTATTTTCATATATAATATCTGTATGTGAAAATATTTATCTTTGAATCGGTTATTGATACAATTACATTTATAGTTAAATTCCTTTTCATAAATATTTCTCATTTTGTTTTGCGTCTAGTTAAAGCGCAATTTTTAGCTTCAAATATATAAACACCGATGCGAAACAATGATTACGCATGTGACAACAAGGTAAATAGTTGAAATAGAGGAGGGAAAGTAAATGAAAAAATTAAATGCGTTTTTTTTTCTTTTTTAATAAAGCCTACTGATTTTTAGTAAATGTTTCTTAAATGAGAGTTAGATTAGCAAAAAAAAAATTTCGAACTTGAATCGAAGTCCTAAATCAAAGGGGAATTTACGTATTTTGTTTTAAAAAGAATTTCATGATTAATTAAATTAATTAATAGAATTAATTCACATTTATATAACTATAAATAATTAGAATATAACTATGTAACTATAAATAATTAGATTAACAGATTTGGTTCACATTAATTTAACTATGTAGGAAAATTTTGTTTTTACAATTTACACAATGCAGCTATATCTATAGTTTTATTCTATTTGTTTTAAGTTTGTTCTTTGCTTTTCATTATAAATATTCAACTATTTGAAAATATGTCTAAATAGAGATATCGTTGCGTTTACAGAAGGAAAAATTATATTCAATACAACTAACTTATATTCATGTATTTCAAATAATCGAAAAAAATTGAAATATTATATTCATTTATTAGCGTCATAAAATAACCTTCCCACTTGAAACGTGCGAGAAATTATTAAAATACTTCATCAATTTACCTATGATGACTGCATTTAAATCCACTGGGTACATAGATAAGAGTAAGAGTATATCCTATCTATTTTTAACATTAAGATTCGTGTATAAAAACTATTTAATAATTTCTGAATTCTTTTAAACTAACCGAATACCTGTTGTTCGTAGGGGTTAAAATACATAGTTAATTAATAAATCGGCATTAATTACACTACGCATTTATGCACAAAACTGAAAGTAGTAAAACGTAACAATTACACTTATTTTAATTTATATTTTGCTCTTTTCCGATAACTTTATCTTTTTAAATTTAAAATATAATCTTTAGAATTGAACTCATTAAAAAATTTAATTATACTCAATCAAATTAAAAAAAAAGATAAATTGAAATATTTGGCATCGTAGTTGATATGCAGGAATGATCTAGGCTCTCTTTAAATGTAATCATTTGAAAGATGAAACTAAAACATTCAAAATAAATGTATCTGGAATATATTAAGAAAATGTAAATAAATTAAACAGGCAAAAGTAATCCATACATCAAAAAATAGCAGGTATTGAATACAGATAGAAATATATTTTAAAAATACGAAAAACTTTTGTCGGAATGATATGTGAGTTAAAAAAGTGACACGACTTGCATGGAGAAAAATATTATGGTTAAATTACAGTACTGTGTGGCAATGACCTATCTGGTTAAAAAAAAAAGCCGTAATTCTAGCAAATAAAACCAAAATATACCGTATTTAGACCATTCATATTATAATTTTTCCGTTTATATGACAACAGTTAAAAGGTATCTAGTTTTCCAAACTATGGTTCTTATTACCAGACATTTTCTAAAAAATATAAAACTGTAATATAAATATAACTAAATAAATAGTTTTTTTTGTCATCATCTAAGGTATGATAAAAATTTCCAAATTTTACCACATTTTATCACATATTGTAAAACCATGTATTAATTTTTTTTTACCAAAATCTTTATCAAAGCACTTCGGTGAAAATTACTGAGCCTTTTGGCATTCTTATAAAGCCAGAAACACTGTAAATTTTACCATATTCTGGTAGCTTTGGCCAATTTTTTTTTCTCGGTGAGGAAAAAATTGGTTTTTAATTTTTTTGAAAAATTTAGTAATGCATATTTTCCTATACTGATCTTGAAAATTTTTTGTTTTTAAATTATAAAAATGCATTCAAACTACTTTTTTTTTTTTGCTTTCTTAAATATTATTAAATATTGGTGAATTGCACCCGAAAAATGTTTGGGGCCTCTGTGTTGGATATTTTTGTGTTCAGTGTAAAAGTGTGCACGTGAACATTAATTATATTCTTATTACATATTTAGTATTCCATGTTTTGGCAACAGCAGTTCTTGTGTACGATATAGATTTTGAGTTTTTAGAATAACGGTGTGTGTAAATTTTAATAAAAGTATTGTTTTTTTTTCTTTTAAAAGTTGTTTCTTACATTATCAGAAGTGGGATAAACAGGCAACTGTAATTAATTTTGAGTTTGAAATGGCATTTTTATCGCGACTTCGTAAGGATCAGTTACGTTTCGTAGCTAATGAGTTATCTGAAGATGCTT